GCTGAGATTCAAGCAGCCAGGACCTCCACCACTGAGGGAACGAGAAGGTCCTTACCGGTTTGGCCTCCCTCAACTGGACCGATACCTACGAAAGCAGGTGGAAGATGACACGGTCTTGTTTTTGAGGCAGCTGTATCTTCATCATCGAGCTGCGCTAGCCCGAGGCCCGAAGGTGACCCTGGCAGCGCTGGAGCAGCCTGAGGACCCGGAGGAGTATCTCAAGGCCGAGGAGAAAGAGGCCCACCGGTACCCGTCCTACTGGAGCTGGCCAGAGTGGAGAGCGGTCAGAGATCGCTGGGGTCTGATAGAGGTCAGTTTCGACCAAGGACCCATGGGACACTCGAGAAGAAAACCCACGAGATTGGGAACTAATATCCCCAGGCTGGCCGAGCTGCAGGACATCCGAGGACACGGAAGAGGAGGAGATACTGCCCTGGCGGAGAACCTGACGGAGAGGATCAAGCAGAGCCGAGACTGGTCAGCCTGGGCGCCTGGATTGAAGCAGGCACTGGCGGTCGCCATTCGAGAAGCGCTGAACTCACCCGTGCACCAGGTGAAGCGGATGGACCTTGAGGCATGGAAGAGACACCTTCTGAACGGGCATCTGCCCTACAACAGAGAATGCAAGTCCTGCGTCATCGCTGCATCACGCGGCAGGGCTCACAAGAGGATCCCACATGCCGAAGCGTACACGCTATCGATAGATACTGCAGGGCCGTTCATGCTGGCAGATGACCAACTTGGAAAGGGCCGCTTCGTGCTGGTGGGGGTATATCTTGCTCCAGTGACCAGGAGTGGACAGTCCATCATTCCGATCCATGAGGAGGACGAGTTGCCTGGAGCAGAAGGAGATGGACCAGAGTTGACTGTGGTTGAGGAGGAGCAGAGGGATCAGGACCGGGGAGAACAATGGCCTGGCTTGGATGATGAGAAGGAATGGGCGTCGCTGGTGGAACAAGAACGGGACTTCCAGGTCAAGCAGGTGACGTTGGCGGAGGTCATGGAGAATCGAGGGGCGTCGGCGGTCTTGGAGGCAGTGGGACGAATGGTGGCCAAGCTGAACTTCTTGGGCCTCCCTCTCAAGCGGCTTCATTCAGACCGGGCTGGCGAGTATCAGAGCAAGATCTTCGACAGGTGGGTCCGAGACAGAGGTCTGTGCCGCACTTTTACAGATGGCGACAACTTCAAGGGCAACGGCCGAGCGGAGGGAGCAGTGGCACAGCTCAAACGAGGTGCCAGAACCCTCCTCGTGGCTGCAGGCCTGGATGAGAGCTATTGGTGTCACGCCACTCGACACTGGGCTGACACTCGACTCCGAAGTCAACTGGAGTCAATGGGGTGGAAGCGTCGACAGCTGGCGACCTTTGGGCAGGTGGTCTGGGCCAAAAGGAAGCTCTACAGCGACCGCCAGAAGTACTTGTCTACCACCAGGACACAGGTGAGAGTGCTGTGCCCAGCGGTCACGATGTCTATGACCTCGCCGGGATACTTTGTGGAGGAGCTCGCCACCGGAAAGTTGTTCCACACGGCCGACATCATGCCAGAAGATGTGGCGCTGCCAGACAGAGAGGCGGGTCTGATTCATGAGGTCGATGACCGAGAGGAGAGTCAGCAGCCGCGAAAGAGACCGGGGAGAACTCGAGGGAAGGTCAAACTACTCCAGATCGAGAAGGAGATGGAGTCTGTAGATTGGGGGGAGCTACAACATCGGGGAGCGAGGATGCTGTCTCGAGAGCTTCAACTCCTGGAGGAGGACTCCGGAGAAGTTAGGAATGAGAGGTTTCTGAAGGCTCTCACGATGGAGATTGAGGAGATCAGCCAAGAAGCTGTTCGAGCTGGTCGACAGGAAGAGAGAAACATGGTCGCCGAGATCGAGGAGAAGTCAGAGGAGGCCCCGGAGTTTCTGCAAACGCGGATGGTGAGTCTGACGGAAGTGAGGAAGAACATGGAAGAGTGGAAACCGTCCATGATCGAGGAGTACGTCGCATTGACCAATGAGTCAGAGGCGGTGGAAGCCATCGGGAAGGAGGAGATGGACCGGTTGAAAGAGGAGGCGAGGGCGCAGGGCAGAGACTTTGACCTGGTGCCCGCGAAGGCCATCTTCAGCCGAAAAGCAGGCACTGGTCGACACAAATGTCGTGGCGTAGCGTGTGGGAATTTCATGCAGGCCAAGAGCTCTGAGTCCACGTTCGCTTCCGGTGCCAGTGGAATTGAGGTGAGGATGCTGATCAAGATGGCAGCGATCAACAAGTGGGCTATGAGCACCCTCGACGTCAAGACTGCGTTCCTCAACGCCCCTGCAGCTCATGACCGTGGAGTGGTAGTAGTCCAACCACCAAGGATCTTTCAGGAGGCTGGAGTACTTCGAGATCAAAAGGAGGTTTGGCTCGTCAAGAAAGCCCTTTACGGGTTAGTGACCTCTCCACGGGATTGGTGTGACCACCGAGATGCCAAGATCAAGGAGTTCCGGTGGTCGAGAGAAGGGAGACCAGTGAGGGTGCATGCAACACCTCAAGCGGACATCTGGCTGGTACAGGAGATGGAGGGTCAAGACGACTGGACAACCAAAGGAGCACTGGCTACGTACGTGGATGACGTACTGATGGTGGGGGAAGAAGAGATCATCCAGGGGTTCATCGACCAAGTCAGGATGCATTGGAAGATTGGTGAACCGGAGTGGGTGAAGGAAGGTCGAGAACCAGTGCGTTTTTTGGGAATGGAGATCGAGAAGAAGGGCCAGGACTTCGCCATCCACCAGAGGGCGTACTTGGAGAACCTGTTCATGGAGTATGACGAACAGGGGAAGGCATCTCTGAGCCAGATTAAGACCCCGGAGGAGGAAGAGAACCCACAGATGTCTGAGGTGACACAGGCCCAGAAGGAGACCGGTGAACTCTTGTGGGTGGCGGGGAGAACGAGACCAGACGTCAGCCTCGCCGTGAACATCATGTGCCAGTGGGCCACGAAGAGACCAAAGGCAGTGATGGCCATCGGAAGGCAGGTGAGGGCCTACCTTCGGCAAACCAGGGGAGAGGCATTGTGCATTTCTGGCGCGGTCGAGACTGACGAGGGGATGGAGACTGGGTTGAGCCGGGTTGAGGTGTACTCAGATGCCTCGTATGCGTCATCGGACATGAAGAGCATGACGGGCATCGTGGTTTGCGTGGGAGGGACGCCGATTGCTTGGCATACGGCCCGGCAAGCGTTCATCACCCTGTCGACGGCGGAGGCCGAACTGATGTCGCTGCTGGAGAGCCTGATTTGCGGAAGGTCAGCGGGAGCGCTGATGGAGGCAGTGCTTGGGAAGAAGATCCAGGTCAAGCTGCACTCCGACTCAACAGCAGCTATCGCCATCGCAGCTGGGACTACATCGTCGTGGAGAACGAGACACTTGAGGATCAGAGCAGCAGGCTTGACCGAGGCCCTGAGGGTGAAGGAGGTGTCTCTAGAACACGTGGCTGGGACAGAGCTGGTGGCGGACGGCATGACGAAGCAGCTGACTGGACAACCTCTCCTGAACTTCAAGAAGGCATTGGGGTTGAGAGAGAGTGAGGAGGGGACGAAGAACATCGAAGTGAAGAAGATAGACCTGAGTGGGAGCTCTCCGGACCCGAGATTCCTGAAGGTGATCGGGCTGATGATAGTGGTTGCAAGTATGGTCACCAGGGCCGAAGCTTCCGAGACGGTCAAGGAGGAGGGGAACAGTGAGTGGTGGATCTTGGTTTTGATCACGGCCGCGATTGCCATCTTGGGCGACATCCTCTTCAGGGTCGGAACGGCGGGAGTACAGAGGTGGTTCAAGCCGAAGGAGGAGCTGAAGGTGAAATTGTTGTCGCCAGATGCCATTCTTCCGACTAGAGGATCAGAGCAGGCCGCTGGGTTGGATCTCTACTCCACCATCGAGACCATGGTACAGCCTGGAGACAGCGTGCTGATCAAGACTGGGATCGCGGTGGAACTTCCGAGGGGTAGCTATGGACGAGTGGCACCGCGGTCGTCGTTGGCAATTCGAGGCATTGAGACTGGAGCTGGAGTGATCGACAGGGACTTCAGGGGGGAAGTCAAAGTGCTGTTGAGAAACCACTCGGATGTGGACCTACGGATCTACAAAGGAGATCGCATCGCCCAGCTGGTCATTGAGAAGATCCTGGAGTTGGAGGTGAACTGTGTGGAGGAGTTGACCACGACGGCACGAGGGTCGCGGGGATTCGGCTACTCAGCTCACGAAGAACTTTACCCCTGGGCAGAGCCAGACGATCCAACATACCACCACCAGGAGATGGGAACCCGAAATCCGGTGAACAGAATCTCGGTGAGAGCGATGAGGGTCGACTTGAGGCCGGAAGAGTCACGAAGGACATCCACTGGGCAGCCATCGGAGTCACAGGGGATGGATGTTCCAGAGGAACCACCTGCTGTCCGACCTGAACCAGCTGGACGCCGTCAAGTACCCGATCCAGATGTATGGCATCGTGGGGAATACGACTATGAGGCGGAGAGAAACAGGAGGGCGCAACTGGGGTTGAGACCGTCAGCCTGGGACCGCATGATGCAGAGAAGGGGCCCGAGAAGGAACTTTGGTGGAACCTGGGTTAGGGTGGACTCGGAGGGCAACCACATCGTCTACAGCGAGCCTGGAATGGAGCGAAGGGCGCAGGCGGCTTCCTCGAGTCAACCACAAGGTGACGAAGAAGGGGGCGGAGATGGGCACGGAGCTGCAGATCGACAGCCAGAGCTGATGGAGACAACACCGGGAATTGGTCCTTCGTTTGATGGCCCTCTGCGACTGGTCACCCATGTCGGCTATGGAATTACGATGGGCAGGTGGGAGGTGAAGAATGAGGAGGTGCTGGACTTCTTGAAGGACCTCAACTTCCAGCCGGGCTTCCTGACCGAAAGGCTTCGTCGAAGGGTTGGAGTCCCGCCAAGGAGGACATCGGCCAAGGACGATTGGCTTTCGTTGGAGGACCATCAACATGGAAAGAAAGTCACGGTGAGAGAGCACATGCAAGATCGAAAGAAGATGTTCGACTTTGAGAATGCCAAGCTGTGGGACCAGGATGAATGGAGCCCGTGGCGCATGACGATCGCTTGGCAGGTGGTCGGGAGCACCCTCGGAAAGACGAAGGTGATTGTGGTCGACCAGAGGGCTGGCCAAAAGAGCAACTACATGCCTTTCAGCTGGGTCGGCTACACGCTGTTCAAGACCAACTAGAAAAGTGAAGGGAGGGGTTTGAGCCCAGCAGCCCGGATCCGTGGAATCCACGGAGGGGGAGTGCTGTGAGTTTTTTTCATGACTTCCAAATCGAGAAGTGTACTTAGTTTGAAGGTGTGGTGGAATGCACTTGAAATGAGAAGTGTACCAAGTTCCGAAAGCCGGGTCAGAACTCACGACCTTTTGGCTATGATCGTACAGGTTTGTTCTTCAAACCGAAGCCCCTTTTGTGCCGAGGAAAAGATCGGCCAGTTCGATCGCGTAGATTGAATCCCGAACCATTGGTAAGGGTCCCTATTGGAGGATAAAGGGTTCCCAACTGGATCCCAGAACATCCACTCACTGGATGGGACTAAAACACCTTGCTTAGGAACCGCCTTGTATAGACATTTTGGCCATCATGCTCTACCACAACCGTGGGGTCACGACCCGACCCTCGCTACATGGGTTTTTCCCTGGTCGGGTGCCCAGTTCTCAACTCTTTGCCTCACTGACTCACAGCTCACTCGCCCCAGACCATCGATACGCATCACTTCCCCAAACATCTTCTTGGATTTGCTGACCGGAGCAGCTGGGGATTTACACAGTTCGGGAAAATAAACCAAGCACCTGATCCGCAGGTCCGTCTCTTGGGCTTGGCGTTCCGGACTGCGAGGATGGCAGGCCCTAGCAGGAGCGTCCAAGCACCATCCTCGGCCTGGCTTGAGATGTTGACTCCACTGTAGACTATGTAGACTCCAATTCAATAGCTTAGTTGGATAAAGCCAGCACCGAAACCACCAACAGGTCTCCGAGTGAAATGGAGGCGACCGTCTGTAGACCTGCCGGTGGTGTTCCCGAACTTGGGTTCGGTCCTGGAGTATGGAAAACCCGGTCCCTGTGAGAACAACTTTCACTGCATGACTCTGCACACCCGCTCTCCGCACTTTTGGTACACTTCCTCCGATCATCATCGGTGGATTATATATCATAAACTCGGCCTGGGTGGTGCCAGAACGGATAGCTGTGAAATGGTCACATGGACTTACTCCGTTAACTCTACTCTATATGCAAACTCATGACGCAACTTTGTAGTGGGAAGGATGCATCTGTCAGATTTCAATACGACCCGCCGCACAAAAGAAATAAAAACAAGAACAATAGCTTTCTTCTCAATATGTTCAACAAACACGTGTTCAATCGTGAGACTCCAACACAAATTTACCATTCTTTGCACCAGCATTCAATTCAGGAGAAAAGACCCGTGTCCACACCCAAACACTCCATGGGACTGCCATAGCCGACCCATTGACCCCTCTGACACCACCCCAGCCGATGGGCAGTCCTATGGCAGTCCCAAACAGGTCGCGTCTGGGACAAGTGGAAGCGTTGCACTCCTCCCTCACAGGCGCCTGCGAGTAGAGCTCGCCCCGGCTGGCGGACAGCTCGCCAATCTGGCCATAGACGTCCTTCCAAGTTGGTTAGTACATGTGAGTACGAGTCCCAGACTTGGTTTATGGTTGAAAGAAAGATTTACCTGATCCTTGACCAAGTTCCTTTTCCATGATTGACTTGATCGATGCTCCAAGGGATCCAGGATGGAAAAAAAACAACGTCTGGACAAACGCGACCCTGGACTCCTGGACCCTCATATGGAGGGGTCTGGGGTCAAACCAATTCCGGTTTTGAGACCCCAAGGGCAGGTGGACCAGGCGGAGAAGATCCGCTTGCACCAAATCAGGTCGCTCCCGTCCTCAAAGTCCGGTCCGAGTCCGGTCCGAGTCCGAGTCCGGCTGGCACCGGGCCGACCGGGACCCGTGGCTGCTGGGTCCGGGACTGCGACTGCGAAGAGAGGGTGGTTTTTCATGTGAGGTGAGCCATCAACAGGTATGGATTCCACGCATGAGACACTTCAAAGTGTTTCACACGCAGTCCTTCTGCTGCTATCGTTAGATGATCATATAGGTGTGAAGAGGAGACGCCTTGACACCCCCACACAGACCCACCCTTGCTGGGTATAGACTGGTCAAGTTCCCTTCTTCCACGATCGACCTGGAATATCCATTCACCACCCCAAGTGACGGGGGCCCTGGTATACACAGAGGCGGGCCATATCCAGCCATCTTCCTTGCCAGGCTGCCAGTCCCAGCCCTAAAGAATTATCACTTCCATCTTGGATCCACGATGGACGAAAATCCCTTGTAGCCCAGGCAGGTCGAAATCCTGCACCCCGGACGCTCCAAACAGCTCTTGGTACCTCAAAACCCTAGGGATTTGAGACCCCAGACCCCCCTCCATATGAGGGCCCATGAGCGTCTGGGACATAGGGTTGCGAAGGTTGCTTCGCCCACGCGAAGCTCGCGGTTCCACCCACGTCGGTCTCCTGAATGCGTTGCGAGGCGCGCAGCCTCAGTGTTCTCATGTCCACAAGAAAACGGCGAAACGGGTCCTGAGGTTTTCTCAAGTAGTGATCCACCCAGACGCTCCGTTTTCACGACGCTCGACTGGTCCCTCAAAACCCTACAGTAGGGATTTGAGGGTCTGGACCCTCCGGATTCAGGTCTGGCCCCGGTCCCTGAACGGAGGGTCCAGGGTCGCGTCTGGGCAATACATAAAATGTAATGAGGTAGTGATCTACGGTCTGAAACCTTGTATGATCAAACTGATTCCAAAATGAGGTATTATCTACCAAACCCCTCCTCAAAAGAAAACAAAAAAAACACCCACAACGCGTCAAGACGTCGGACTGCCGAGACCGTCGCGGTGCCGCGGTGCCCGGGCTCCAGCTGACCCCGAGATGGACAGTGTTTTGATACACTTTGGTGAGCCGAACCCCTCAGGTGCCACCCTCAGTTGTCCCGAAAAGAGAAAATGGTTAACCTTCTTCCACCTATAGTCTTGTTGAGTGGGGAAACCAACCCCCAAAAAAAGGTTAAACAGGTTATCCACTGTTCCTGGGTACTGAAACATCTAGTCTTTAAAGATCAACCGGTGAAGCAAGAGCAGGATCAACCGGTGCGAGCGCGACCCGTGAGGCGACCCGTGACGGCGGACGGCTCGTCTTTTGTCACAGAGGCTTCCCAGAGGTTAAGTGACCTGAACTAGGACCCTACAGGGTGTAGGGCTCCTGGCCGCCCCCTCCTGAGGTTCGGTGGGCCAGGGGTGGGTGCCAGGGGGGTCGGAGCCCACCGAACCTGAGCTCGAGGATATGGGGCGTTCGGAGCGCTAGGGTACTGTCCTTTTCTGAGCCTTTGCGATCGGCAGGCCATGTCTGACAGAAACATCGTGAAAGACCTCATAGCAAGAGCCCTGCAGGAACACAAAAGCCCCGCAGTCTGCTGAGCTATTCACAAAAATGGTCCGACTCGAACGTTGCTCACGGAACAGAGATCACCAGTAAATGACGGTCAATCCTGACCATCAAAGCCCCCTTTTGTCTCCTCAGGGTCTTCAAAGTCTGATCGTTTGTACCTGAGCAGTTTTGCTCTTGCAGCCTGCTGTGCGCTCAGGGCCCCGGCAAGGACTTCAAGGAGGGCAAAGAGGACCTGCTGATCACTGGCCGGAGCAACAAAGCAACCACGTTCTTGGAGGGACAACCTACTGACAGGTTGGGAAGTTACTGAAATCTGTGATTCCCAGAATCACCTCACGTTCCGTTCAATTCCTGTTCTACTCCTTGGTCATGCCGCCAACAACCAAGCATTGACAACTTCTCCAGCAAAGGGTGCCTTGCATGAACATTCAGAAATGGTCATCATCCCCTATAGGGGCTCCTGGCCGCCCGCTCCGTTTCGGTGGGCCAGGGGTGGGTGGTCCTGGGGGGGGTCGAATACCACCGAACCTGAGCTCGAGGATATGGGGCGTTCGGAGCGCTAGGGTACTGTCCTTCTCTGAGCCTTCTGGGATCGGCGGGCCATGTCTGACAGACACATCGTGAAAGACCTCGTGGTCTAACCACCGGTCACCTGATCATACACTTGCACGTCCAGCCTGGTTCGGACTCGTGACCGCTTCGAACATCTCTCCCAGTTGCTGACCGGTCCAAGGACCGGTCACGAGTGCACGGAACGGAGAGTTCAGTGCACGAACTGAAGAAACTGATACCGAAGGTGAACAGTTGAAGGTCTTCCAACTATGCAAAATATGCATGCACACTTGGGCTGAAGAAACTGGTACACTCCCTGAAACCATGGAAAGGTGAACAGTTCGGCCCCGAAAGGAAGAGCATGTTCCTCTACTTGGGATCCTGGTCAGCCTCGATTGTATGAGGGAGGGTCCGGGAGGGTATGATTTCATGTCCGACCTGCCTTGAGCACTCCTTCCACAGCATCCTCCCGATGAGCTGGCTGGTAAGGGCCAATCATAGCCATCAACCAGTCAGCGACCACCCGTTGAGGACGGTCTACTGGTCGTACATGGCGAAGAACATCTGACGTCTCCGATGTCTGCCCATGCAACTCTATGTCTATAGATAAAGCCTAAGCCACCACCATGTGATGCAAACCAGCCTATGGCAGGTGCCAAACAGGTGGTCTTTGGAAAGTCTGAAGAGCACCTTCGAGCTGAGAAGGTGTCTCCACCTCGCTCCACCGCTGCGCCTGCCATCGACCACTCCCATCTGCCCATCCTGGGTGGGGCGGCCGACGTCGGAGCAGAACTGGAGCACTGCGTGGCCCTCTTTTCCAAGAGAGATGCTCATTCTTGGACATCTAGCCCTACCAGCACCGAGGGCCCAACAGGTCTCCGAGTTTTGGAGGCGACCGTCTGTAGACTTGTATAAAAGTCGCAGCTGGTGACCGAACTTGGAAGGTCTTGGTAGGGATCCACATACCCTTTGAGAAGGTGCTTGGGGTGGGTTTGGAGGGTCTAAACACCTTCTGAGGAGGTACTTGGAGGTGTAGGGATGTAGAATCAATTGAAGAGCTTGGAACTGGCAGATGTTGTGGTAAATTTTTCAACCCACCACCCAAAGAACGCTGTTCAAGCAGTCTCCTCCGCAGCATGCAACACGTTCACTGCCATCGTCACGGACCTTGGGGAGAGTTCACACCAAGGCGCGGCCCCCAGCCACCGACTCACACCACGGAAGAACACTCCGGTGGAAGAACTGGTAGTTGCCGCTGATGTCGATAGAGGTGACAAACTGGGAAGACTCTAATTATCTCTCTCTCTCTCTATATATATATAATATTTTCTGTTGATTTTTCTATTGACTATTTGACTGTGGAATATTGCCATGTGAAATGACCTTGGACCGTCAAGCCCCATCTTCAAACCGAGACCGTCTAGGAACAGGTGCAGAATCCTTAGGCCCTGCTGTCGGTGCTGTCGGGTCATAATGTTCTGCCGCCTGCTCATGCCTGCTCGTTGGATGTGCTCTTGGACTTTTGTTGGCGCAAAGCAAAGTGAAAAAGCCATGTTCCTGAACTAGGGGAACATGAAGGGTGTCTACCTTTGGAAAATGGAGTCAAACTGTGACACTGAGGGTGCTGGAGAACACAAATCCTTCAATGCAGCTCAAAGCTTCCCGCACACGGGCATGCAGCATACACTAAACATGTTCATTCAACCTAGTTTTTGGAAACTCTTTGTCAGTACAAGTGCAAGTTCAATAAAAATGTCGGGTCCCACTATGATTCAGACAAGCAAGCAAACTCCAGCTCATTCAAGTAATGGTCCAACCTGGGTCTTGCGTGGAGAGCACAGTGCCGGGCACAGCTTTTAATCCTTTATGTAAATGGCGCGGAAAAAAACACAAACAGCACGCATGCATAGCAGGCCTATCACGTGATGCTTTTTGAGATGGAACATGCAGGCACACATGTACACGTTTGCCTCTCCAAGATCGCCCTCCAATCCGTTAAAATCACGTAAAACACACCCAGGGCATCCAGGCAAACCACTATAGCTGGTAACCAGTGGTTCCAGTTCGACTAAAACCCATAGGCCGAACAAATTCCTGGTTGCTTACTACTAGTGGTTTGCCAGGGATCCACTGGGAAACGTGTGGATCCTGTAAGCCAAACATCGCTGGTAGACCATGGAGGATCCAGCTTGTCAAAGAACAAGGAGCCTCATTGACCTACAGCATCGTTTTAGCCAACAGCATAATCCCTATAACAACCCATATATCTATATAATATGCTGTACCCACTGCTGTGCCTACACCTTTAAAAACATCTTAAAACCACATATATAATAAACACATATAGGCACTACAAATAGCATCAAATCCAACTAGGACGGGCAAGCTTGGAGCCTCCATTCGCTCAGCATGGGTTTGCCACTGCCCCCACGGGGCTATGTAAATATTCCAGCCCGATGGATTGTTAGGGAATCAAAGCATCCCATCTCAGTTGAGCAGAGTTGATGTTCTTGTTCTCATTTATCGCGTGCACAGTGCGCCTACGGAGCACTGTGCCGGCTTATGCCACCACTTCGGCGTCACTTCGCCTTAGGGAGTGACATCTGCCTTCCTACCAGGTCAAGTCGACAAGGCGACAAAGGCGGAGTGACAGGGAGTGACCTTTGTCATGTCACTCATGGGTTTTGGAGGAGGGCCCTTAGCCTGAAATGACACCTCCAGGAGTGACAGGGAGGGCCTGGGTGGTTTTGTTCGCCCCAGTATGTCCCAGTGCATGTGACAGGGGCGCCCCCTGTGACTTCTGGATTATACATTCATTAACTTCATTTATTCACGGTTTCAACAATGGTTGAGCTAGAAAATCCTTGGCAAACCCATTCTTCGGGATTCGGGCTATTCAATCGATATGGTGAGGCAATGAATCCTATAAAGCATTATAAAGCTATAATCCCTAGGGCTCCAACCATATCCTCAGAAGAGTCAGACCCCCAAATCCACCCCAACCATCTTCTCCGGAGATGGTTGGAGCCCTAGGGTATAATATCGATCTCTGCAAAATGCTCATGCCCAAGCACGACCCGGTCAGCCCCGAACCTCTTCAGGGGTCGGCCCCGAAGGGGGCTTTCCATCTGGCCAAACGGCCGCGCATGTCGCGTCAGCGTCAAACACCTGCGGTGACACGGCTGCGGTGAGCCGTCCGCCCGGCTGAAAGCCGACCCCACTACGCCGGGGGTCCCGACAATTCGACGTCGGACACCTCAGCGGAGTTGGTCTCCGTGGATGGTCGCGGAGAGGGTCGCACCAGAAGATCTGGGATTGGCTGAAGGAACCTGGAAAAAGATCCCCAGAAGTGGATTTACCCCAAACATCCCATAACATCCACAACATAGCAGTTTTGAAACATCTCATATGGAGGGGTCAGGGGTCTCAAATCCGGTTTTGAGGGACCAAGGGCTGTTGGGAGCGTCTGGGCAGGTGTTGGAATCCCAATGGCGGGGGTTACGACATGTTAAGAAGCCTTCTAAGGCTCCTAGCCCATCATATCAGGCTTGGTGGGCACAGACCTGGCACCACCCACCCCCAGCACCGCGAACAAGTCGGACTGGATAGGGAACTGTCGATGGGTGAATTGTTCATTCGGAAGAATCCGGGCCCCCTTCAGCAATACATCCGCCCAAACGCTCATGGACCCTCATATGGAGGGGTCGCACGGTTGTTTGGAGCGTCTGGGCGGGTCCGATTTCCCCTGGTTTTCGGTGGACTTCGGGCTGCGAAGGCTTTCTGACCCTGCGAACACTGCACGGCCCGGACGGATGTTGATAAGGCCAAGAACTCCGAAGTGAAATGAGTTCTCTGTTCATGACTCTTCATCAAACACCCAGCTAGGTGCGCTATATAGGTGTGGCGGCGAGTATGCTACCAGCACACGCATGGTCGTACGCTCTGGTCCTTTTCTTCGCGTGGCGACGGTGGCATGTCTTTGGTCGCTGACTCAATCCATGCAGTGGTTGGATTGATACCCCGTACGGTACGCCGTACGGTCCACGCCGAGTCGAACTTCCGACCGAGGCCGAGAGACAGGAATCGTTTAAAGCTGACAAGACACTGACGTTTTCCTACGGCTCCAGTCGTACCTTCTGAGAAGGTGTTTAGGGTGGGTTTGGAGGGGTTAACCACCTTCTGAGGATGCGGTTGGAGCCCTAGGGAAGACACTGACGTTGAAACAAAGGCCTTCTGCCGGAAGTTGAGAACTTGGGCGGTGACGAGATTGATGAACAATATGACCCGCATTTCATGAACAATCCCCTACAGGTTGAGGACCTCATTTGACTGGGCCCAGTCATGCAAAACCAGTACTCAATGAGGTCAAGAACCAGGCTTAACTTGGCCAGATTGGACTTGTAGGAAATGGCTACGGCTCCAACTTCGAACACGGTTTCTCCACACGGTGACTTCCATTGAAATCCAACCAGCACACGTTCTTGCCAGCTTGTTCCCGGATCGCTGGATGGTCCAGCAAACGATCCCAAGCAAACTAAGCTATGGCACCATGGTTGTGCCAGCGGCTACGTGAAAATGATATGGATCTTCAAACACCAAGGTAACATCTTCTTCGTCATGTCATCGGAACTTCATGACTCTCTTATTTATACAATTATGTGTATATATACGTTAATCTATGTTAATTTAGCTAAACACAATATGTATACCATATCTAATCAATGAATTAGATTATCGATGAGTCCTTTGCCCTGGCATCTCTGAAAATCCTCACGAGATCCGGATGTCACGTGCGGATCTCCGTCTCTTCAAAGCCTGACAGGGGGAAACCTCATGGCGGTATGTTTTACTGTAAAACTCAAATGTTGTCCGTCCACATGCTAATGTTTAGTTTAAAGTAGAGATGCCAAACCCCTAAGGACGGTGTGAAAACGCTTGGGTACATTGCCATGTTCGAACAGATTTAATTTATAGGTACAAATTAGGTAGGGGCACCTCTGAGAAAATCAGCAAACATTGTAAATTCATTGGTTTGGGGGTCCCCTTAGCAAAATACCAAACACCATTTGTGAGACTTACGACATCTTGGCTTTGCCTTTGCGGTCCTGGCCGTCGCCAAACAGCGCCCTTTCAAAGCTGGTGTTCCGACGCTGTGCAGGACCAGCGTTCAGCACTTGATTGGTCGCCAAGTACTTTTCAATTGCCAAGTACTTTCAGAGTAGATGGCACAGTCCCAATGGGTGGTTCATGTGGAACCCCATCAAAAAGACCTCTTGGGGTCTGTGTCATCTACTCTGAAAGTAGCTGGGGCTGGAGACCTATCAAGTAGAACCCACTACTCCCACCTCCAACCATCATGGTTACGTGGCCTGGACCAAGACTAGTTTCCGAATACCAAGCAGGGGGTGAACTCCACTTCCATGATTGCTGAGGGGAGGGTATCAATTCCTACCGCCCGTGACGGAAGCCGAGCCTCGCATGGGAATGGAATGGAGGTCTGGATGTGCGGGTCATCATTTCTCAACCTCCACGAATGTCAATACGTTTATTGTAATCATCCCCCGACTGTAGTACTATTGCTCCAGGATGCTAGTCAATGATATCGTATAATCCATCCAAGCATGCGGGTGATTCTGTGTCTGGATTCACAAGCACGCCGACCACAGATCAACCCGTGCCGACCGAGAGAACAACGGGGGCGAGCTCTGTTTGCAAGACAAACACAGTGAGACCTGGCTAAGAACACACAAGAGGAACGGATTGAAGGCCTCCCCTGCTAGCAGGTCACCAGGTGTTTTACAGACAGGCGCCCAGTGAGCACAAGTAGCCCATCGTCTCACTGTCATCCGCTTTGGCACCAAGCGGGTTGGCCTCAAGCGCCTTCACACGTGCAAGCAAACATGGCTGTCTACCCAACCCCGGGTAAAGTCAACCACGTCCAGAACAAGCCGAACTGAACTCCATGTCTGAACACATGGGTTCAGTCCAGCATTCCTCCAACTAGTGCTTGCTTGAAGCAAACACAGCCAGGTACACCACATGTCCTGGTGCTGCGCCCCACACTGCGGCCAATAGTGTGACAAGAGCTCTTCGGACAATCTGCCGGCGATCACAGATCGCCCGATCCTCCGGCACCAACGCTCTTGTTGGGTAGGGCACACTGCACAACCGAGAAGCCCACGTTCGCATGTCACCCACGAAGTCAAGCAAGAAGACCCAAGCGAGTCCGCTCCCACGAGGAGAACCGTACATCGCCCCACATCGCCGGGTCCGTGAGGTGGTTTGGGGATCCCTGACGGTGGGGTGGTTGAGTTGGGGTCCATATATAGGTTCAAGACTCTTGATTCATCAATCCCATCCGCACCCTCAAAAAGAAGGGTTTGGTTCGGGTACAAAGCCTTGTTATAGAGGGTTCGACCCCTTGCCATGGAGGGTCCAAGGTTTTTAGGGATCCTCTATATAGAAGGACCGAACCCAAGTTCGGGAACACCACCTGCGACTGAGACTGGCAGGTCTACAGACGGTCGCCTCCATTTCACTCGGAGACCTCTTGGTTGGTGGAAGGTGCTGGTAAATAAAGAGGATGTCCAATTCAATTGGGTGGGTGTATTCATCAATGAGTCTACACAATTCCAGTCTCCTTTTCTGGGCGAGTCAGAAACCCCAGCCAAGCCCCCGCCGTGTTCAGCGCCTCACCACACGACGACTGCATGAAGTGATATACCACACAATACATACCAGCACCTTCAAAGGGGTCACCAATAGAAGCCCCTACACTACTAAGGGACCTCCAGACAGGACACGCCTGGAAACCAGGTCCAGGTAGGATCTGACCCATGGCCTCCTCAACGTCCTGCACGGTCCGAACGGTCCGAACCGTCCACGACGGTCCTGCCGAGCGGCCGAGCGTTTCGCTACCCAAGCGGCGACGTCTAGGCCCCGAGTCCTTTGGAGGAATCGGACCCGAATCCGAACTGGTCAAGGGGGTCGAACGGTTTCTCACCAATCCCTATAGGGTTTGGTTCGGTACCAGTCGAGCGTCGTGAAAACGGAGCGTCTGGGTAGGTGAGGACCTGCTTTGAGGTCGGAAAGCAGGTCAAAGTAGGTCACCATAGGGCCCTCCAACTGTCAGCACCGACCCAGCACGAAAACGTGGTGAACCTCCGCGTGAACTGAAGAATCCCAAGCGAAGAAATCTCGACCAAGTGCGGCTGGTTTACATTCACCATGGTTTTCTACCCAATTCTTTGGTTGCCCAAAAGTACTAGACCTGTGGATTCAGCAAGCATATCCCATGCCATTGCAAAGTAGGAGAGTCACTGGCCCAGCAAAGCACTTGAAACCTCCCCCCTTCAAACAATCTGCTAAACAGCCCAAATTGGAATAGCACATGCTTTCATGAAGTCCTCTAACGAGTGATCTTGTCTGGCGGATCTGTGTCACTTGAAGGTCACTTACCCTAGGGCTCCAGTCGTACCTTCTTAGCAGGTGTTTTGGAAGGGTTTAGAGGGTCCAAGTACCTTCTTACAAGGTACTTGGAGCCCTGGGGCTATATCTATACAATCGAATTCACGTCGCTCCAACCTCGGCCTCACTCGCCCGGGCAGCCCGTTCGAAGAATGATCCTCAGCTGCAAGCTTAAGGCCCGTCTCTCTCTTCTCTCTCTCTCTCTCTGTCTGCCTCTGTCTCTCTATCGACCTCTCCAAGAATATCGCCATTTGGCAAAATATGGGTGTGTAGCTCAAATAGGGGGACCTCCCAGTTTTCGACTCCGGACCAAGGTCTACTGTGGCTAATTTTGGCCGGGGATATTCAAATGTACACCCACTACAGAACATGCACCCCTGTCTTCAACTAAAAGGTCTGGAAAAGAACTGGTCCTGCAAGACCACCTCTTCAGCTACAGAACTCTCCTATGTCTTATTGGTATCTAAATAGGTCAAAGTGTTAGTGCACGTACATTTAATGAGTCTTGGTCACTCCTATTGAATACTCTTGGATTCTTTGAGTAAGAGTCTTCTCCCTAGTATAGCCTCTTGTTACTAGTAGCATCTAGTAGCGATGGCCTCCACCGTGCGTAGCGTCCTTGTTACTACTCCAGACTGGACGTGCACCGTTCGTCTCGACGAACCGTGCACCGTCGCCGTCTCGCCACCGTTCGGTTGTGGGCACTGAGGCGAAGAAACGGGTTGAACCGGATCCGCACCCGAAACCAAACACAAGGCTTTGGCTCGGGGCCCAACCGCCACCCTTAGT